TCAACTGGACCTCAACCCTCACGCCGTTGCCGCGCGGGTGTTGGACAGACGGGTGAGCGGATCTGAGGGAGCATAGGTGAGGGCAGCGGTGGAGATGCGAAGTTGCTGTGTGTAGAATCGCTGAGTGCGAAGACGCAGAATCCGTTTACACCGCCCATTCACCTGCCCTTCCACCAGTGACGTTGCCCCCGTGATTCCTGCCACCAGCTCCCGCAGCCAGTCGCCAACAGTCACCGCCTTCATGGGTGTTGTTGTCAGCATCTGTGTGGGGGTCATTCGCTCGCCATTATCATTATCGTCTATTTGTGTTGGGACCGTGTCGATTGCACCCCGAGTTGGGTCACTCTCTAGGGGGCATTGGCGTTTAACTTTGGCACTTGTCTAGCGCGGACGATCTGGGGACAGTCTCTCATGAAATGCCCCCATTGGTTGCATAGATACCACGCACGGGGAAGGGCGGTGGTTCCATAGGAGGCCCCATGCCCACTCCCCCTTCCACTAACAATGCTCATTTGTCCAAGCTCTGCCTCTAATTGAGACACTCACCCAGGGGGGGGGGGGGGGGCGAGGGGGTTTGGTGGCGAAGATGTTGAAGAAGATCTATTTAAAACGGTCTCAGGCTCCAGTTTATTCTCCTGACTTCAAAAGCCCGGGGTCGTGTTGTACCGCGTGGCCAATCATGTGCCTACCTATGGTTACAGCCCCGTCTTTTCCCATTTTTTACCCTTACATGTGTAATGGGCGGAGTCAGGGTCACGTGTGGAGGAGGAGGAGTCAGGGTCACGTGAGGGGGAGGATATAAGGGGAGAACCGGAAAGAGATCGTGAGTGGAGACAGAATAGAGAAGGGAGAGGCCACCCGGAGAGCTGGCGAGGAGTGGCGCGAGCGCCACGAGGCAGGAGTCATGGCACCGTCGGCCAGCGGTGTTCATGGAGCAGCGGGGGTGTCTGCAGAGTGTGCGGGAGCACACGGAGCCGCAGGGTGGCTGCTGGGTGCGCGGGGAGCACACGTAGCAGCAAGGGGGCTGCAGAGTGTGCGGAGCATACGAGCAGCGGGGTGGCTGCAGAGAGAGAGTGAGCGGGAGCGGAGGACTCAGACGACGTGCAGAGGCACGAGGCGGAGAAGGTGCGGGTCGGAGCGAAGACACCGCGGGGTGCGAGCAGATGGTGTGGGTCGGAGCGGAGACATCGCGGGGTGCGAGCAAGAACCCAATAAAGGACACGGAGAACAACAACGGCTGAGAGTCCTTTATTACACATGTGTAGTGACTTGTTATGTCACTACCATGTGGGCCTACACACACACGCATGACGTCACTACGTCTGCATGTGGGAATGACGTCACGGCCGGATCGGGGGGTCTTGAGGCCGTGGGTCAGTACCGCAGGGGTTGTGTGAGGCCGTGGCACTCTGGATGAACCCGGCTGGACACGTGACCGAATCAAGGTGGGGGCCGGGTGGCCCAGGGGCACCTTGGAGGACCACGTGGACAGAAGAAGAGCCTTCTCGAGAGTTCTCGAAGGTGGGCGTGGCTGGGGTGTGGCCCGGACACGCCGAGGAGCAAATAAGTGGGCTCCGCACCTGCATCGGGGCTGCTCGGGTCCGGGATGAAGATGCATCATGAAGACGCCTCATGATGAAGAAGAGTCAAGCCTCAAGTCAGCGTGGCCACCAGTAGCCCTCCTGGCTTGGTCACGCTAGTCGTATCAGAGCGTCAGTGTTAGCGAGTGTTAGCAAGTGATGGTGTGTGATAGTGAGGATAGGTCGGTGTTCACCACCCTAGTTTAAGAGTTAGCCGTTGTGTTAACAATAAATCGTGTTGCCTCCCAAGTTCAGTGTGTAGCACCTCTATCAAACCATTTCACATGGAGCGTCGCGGCCGGTGCTTCTGTGACCAATTTTTTTTCCATCCATACTCATGAATGCATTACTCACCCTTGTTAATCCGGAATAACGCCCGACTGGTGAATACACACCCTGTGAGTATGTATTCGGTATGGGCGTCGGGGGGGGGGGGGGTCGTGGCACTACGATCCCCTGACCTCATGGTCTGCTCTTCTCACTTATTCCACCCCAGCTTCTCCCAATATCATGAATGACTCATCGCGGCTGGCCCGGTAAACCTTTTGCGCCCATACACTATTAAGCCAACTCAGGGGCAACGCGATGTAACTTGTCCTGCGAGGGTCGGCCAATCCCCAGGCACCGGGAAACCATGGGACTTTCTTCATAGCGACCCTTCGGATTAAAACCTATTGTGCCAAGCAATCCCCCACCAGGACACTATGTGTGTGTGCTGCGTGTGTGTACTCAGTGGGGGGGGGGGGGGGGGGGGCAAGGGGGGTCGCAGCGCTTGCAGTGTGGCTTCGCGGCTGTGGCACCACACATTCTCCTGTATACAGATTTCGAGTTGGAGAATAAAAGGTAATCTACCCTGGAGAAGTCTTCACGTCCATCGTTGGTGTGCATGTCAACCTCCAAGTTCACTTACAAACTTATTCTAAATAATGTTCAGCCACCAAACTGGACATAAGTGTTCTAAACTTTGAAAGTGTTGTACTCTGCGATCCCGTGCCCCACGTATTAATTGTGCATGCACCACGTGCCCGGCAGGCAGTTCTCCTGCGCGGGTTTCGTCTCACCCCTGCTTATCCAGACAGATAACTTTTTTTTTATAATATACTAGCGGGAAGTACCCGGCCTTGCCCGGGCAAAAAAATATTTCAAATCTTCTCTTAAAAACCTTACATATACATACACTAGTTACTAAGCTATTGTGAAGCCCGGTGGGCCGCTTGTCCATTTCTCCACGAATAAAATTATAAGAGGCTTGCAGAAGTCCAAAAAGTAATAAAATGGAGGGTTAATAGTTGGTCAAATTTTTTTCCAAAAATTATCGACCCCCCCCATGAAAAAATATTTTGACCCCTGCTTGTTTGATACCTGCTATCACTACAGCAGAGCATACCGACTGTGGTGGTACCGCTATCACTGCAGCTGTGCATACCGACTGTGGTGGTACTGCTATCACTGCAGCTGTGCATACCGACTGTGGTGGAACCTGCTATCACTGCAGCAGTGCATACCGACTGTGGTGGAACCTGCTTTGACTACAGCAGTGCATATTGACTGTTGTATCCTGCTATGACTACAGCAGAGCATACTGACTGTGGTGGTACCTGCTATGATTACAGCAGTGCATACTGACTCTGGTGGTCCCTGCTATGATAACAGCAGTGCATACTGACTGTGGTGGTCCCTGCTATGATTACAGCAGAGCATACTGACTCTGGTGGTCCCTGCTATGATAACAGCAGTGCATACTGACTGTGGTGTTACCTGCTATGATTGCTGCAGTACATACTGACTGTGGTGGTACCTGCTATCACTACAGTAGTAGATGCTGACACTATAGCAGTATATATCGACAAACTACTAACCAGACAGAGTGCCGTGGTGAGGTTTAGTCCCGTGCAGAGCCCGCGGCCTCACTTAGATTGCCCAGCCGGCCGAGGTGGCACCTTGGCAGGCTTGGGGCTGGGCTGCTACCCCCGCCCCCCACCATCCCTCCGCCCGCACTACAATAATACTATCTAAGTGCGATATTAGTATCTATCGACCCTATAGTAGTAAGTGCACACATTGGGGTGGGGGGGGAGAGAAGAGGACATGACACTTTGATGAATTTACCTCAGCGTTGTATTTTTTTTGGATTTTGAACGCGAAGGAGAAATCCCCACCACCCTCCACCGATAACGCGTGTGTGTTGCTAGGGGCAACCCCCGGATAGATTTAGTGGTGCAACGAAATAATTAAATAATGATAAATAGCACTAAATTGTTCATTTCACTATTTTAAAGTTGACGGAAGGGAAAACGGAATAGCGACAACCCCACGATTTTGCAAGCCAAATCCTTCGCAAGTGCACATCCACAGACAGACAGACGGACAGACAAAAATTACGTTTATAGGTAACAGTATGATTTTATTATGCTTTTCAACAAAAGTACATGACCAAAGTATAGTCAATTGGAGATCAGTAAGCAAATAATTAAGTTTATTCTCCGGCCATGGTCTGATAACATTATTGAAAATGTAACATTTTCTGCTTCATCTTCTTGGTTCTTTCGGTAAAGTCACGTAGAAGGGAAGTAATAAAATGATAAAAATAAAACACAATAAAATAATTCTCACGACGTTTCGGCCACAACGCAAGCAGCCATCCTCAGGTGAAAACCAGGTATATATATATAAGCTGGGCGCCTTGACAAAGGAATTTGCATATCAAGAGGAATTTAGCATATTTATGGGAAATGCAGGAATGTGATTAGTACTACATATGCATGTGCATTATGCAGGATTAACAGCATCAAAGGGAGCTGCAGTTGCTGCTGCTGCTGCAGTTGCTGCTGCTGCTGCAGTTGCTGCCTTATCCATGTTAATATAACACTATGTATTATTCTACCCACCCTAATGTGTATCACACTGCTATATATTTACTATACAATTACGACACCATACATTACTCTGCACACTGCACCAAGCATACAAATGCCACAATATCTGCCACTATACATTTGTATGCTTGGTGCAGTGTGCAGAGTAATGTATGGTGTCGTAATTGTATAGTAAATATATAGCAGTGTGATACACATTAGGGTGGGTAGAATGATACATAGTGTTATATTAACATGGATAAGGCATCAACTGCAGCAGCAGCAGCAACTGCAGCAGCAGCAGCAACTGCAGCTCCGTTTGATGCTGTTAATCCTGCATAATGCACATGCACATGTAGTACTAATCACATTCCTGCATTTTCCATAAATATGCTAAATTCCTCTTGATATGCAAATTACTTTGTCAAGGCGCCCAGCATATATATATATATATATGCTCCAAGCTCGTGTGCTGTTTCATTCAGACTCTGTCGCCTCGACGGACCTGGTTTTCACCTGAGGACGGCTGCTTGCGTTGTGGCCGAAACGTCGTGAGAATTATTTTATTGTGTTTTATTTTTATTATTTTATTACTTCCCTTCTACGTGACTTTACCGAAAGAACCAAGAGATGAATCCCTGCAGTCACGAAAGCTTTACATCGGAATTTGCTCCTTCGTTTCTGGTTTGCCAGGGCGGCCGGCAATATGCATGAACCCAGGTCTTCGTGCCGGTTTCTTTTTGCCATCTTGAGGCTCCGCTCTCTTTGACCGCCGATTCATGAACTGCAATGTAGCAAAAAGGAGACAGCTTTGTGAAATGATGCACGCAACATCTTAATGAAGAAAACTTGTTTAGTGAGGCTTGCATTGGCAGTGGCACACAAGAACAAACATCAATAACACTTATGTGCATCCACAGTGGCTTGCGCACAAACACGTCGTTGACCACGACCACGAGTACCTCGTCCCTCTGTTAGCCCCGCCCCCCCCTCCCGATACGTTCCATTCATTGGCTACCACATTCTGATAAGCCCCTCCCCCCCTCCCCCCTTAACTGGTACTCAAGAGATTACACCTTGAATCCCTCCCTCACTTGATGCAGCAAATCTGGCTGTGACGGTCCCACCTGATGACAGAGACTTGTGTTGCCTCCGAAACGTCGTGATTTTTATTGTTTTATTTTTTTAATTAATTTGTATTTCATTTTTTACCTACGTGACTTTACAGAAAGAACTAAGAGTATGAATCCTTGCAGTCACGAAAGCTTCAAATCTAGAATCAATAACACTGCCCAAAAGAGGCAGCATTGCATATGTAGGCGGTGTGAGGTCACCTGTGATTAATCACACATATACTTGTGCACTTTACTTATAGCTGCAGGTATCCCGGTGCGTTTTTTTAATTTACAGTGAATGCATTGCTGACCCCAAGCCCCATGCACACTGTAGAATACAGGGCATGCCCCCAATTTAGATTTGGGCGGAATTTGTGCTGAGAGATTGAGCTGCGGTGTTGTAACGTGGAGAAGGTGTGTTTGGTCACTATTCCAGATATGTAATTGCCCATCTGAAGAACACTTAAAATAAAGTTTTAGTGTTTTACAAACCGCTGGTGCTCAGCTATTGTGGAGATACACAAAACTTCTTCCGGAGGATAAACCACAACACGGAATACTTTGTCATCGTCTCTGAACTTTGTTATTTCATATTGTCATCTATTAACCAAACAGTCTCCCTCATTAGGATTTACAGCCAGAGGAGAGGGACAGGGCCGACCGGCTACACATAATAGGAAACATTTTGGGCAATGGCCCCTTTTTCATCGCAGACATTATTAGACAAGCCAGGAGATCGAGTGATTTATGATCGGTGACTGGGGCCGTAACAGAAATGAAGTTTTGGTCATAGAAATGCAGTTTTAGGAACGTTCAATGATGAACCATATTCAATTGGTATATAAACAGTTACTCATTGAAATGTATTTAGTAACAGACAAACATTTACTAATGTTACAAAGTATTTGCATAAAATAAACAACTTTTTAAGGAATTCTGTCCCAAAATTACATATTTGTCAGGACATCTTCCTGTAAAAAAGAATGAGCCTAGGAAAATCAGGAGAGGTGAAAACCCTTATCGTGAATTTCAGAATTCATACACTGATACATGCCTGCTGGGACCTATGCCGGTGCAGTGCTCAAAGCAGGATAGCCTAATGATATTGCACGTTCCAAAGACATCCGTACTGGACCCACATGACACCTATTCACTTTCTCATGACCAGTGGGAAACATTACCGGGTCAGGAATTTCCCAAACTTCGGCATACATTGCTGTGGAGCATTATAGGTTAAAGCAAATCTTAGAGCAAAACCACATTGTGTCAGATAAATAAAGCCTATCGGAAGATGGACTATCTGCACAAGTACATACAGAATTGTTCATATATTGTTTAACCCATGATGCGCCACAAATGCTTAATAAGTTCACATACAATAGTGTATTTTTTCATTGAACTGGTATGGTTTAAATAGAGTATTTTTACCTATAATGTTGTATCACCACAATATTTGTTTAACATGCCGAATTTTGATGATGAGTTATCCAAAAGGTCAAAACCACATCCGAAATTGCTTGCTTAACCTAACGCTGATGCATAATATTAGTCTGGAAATCCAGTGGGCAGATGTACTATACAATGTTTATTCTTCTTGGTTCTTTCGGTAAAGTCACGTAGAAGGGAAGTAATAAAATAATCAAAATAAAACATAATATAATAATATAATAAAATAATATAATAAAATAATATAATAAAATAATATAATATAATTATATTAATATGTTATTTTATTATATTATATTATTTTATTATGTTATTATTATATTGTTTAATTTGTATTATTTTATTACTTCCCTTCTACGTGACTTTACCGAAAGAACCAAGAAGATTAATTCCTGCAGTCACGAAAGCTTTAAATCGAAATATACAATGTTTATTTGTTTGTGGAGGCAGAACAGAGTTCTACTTTTGCCCAGGAATGACCCAGATTTGTTTGGGGATGAAGCAAACAGCTCGGGCACTTTGGCACTCACCCGGCCGAAAGTGTCGTCGTGGCTGTCGCTATCCGACTCCTCGCTGCTCTCCTGGTCGCATGACAGGTCCGACACCACAGGGGCGTTTGTGTTGCTCTTGGTTAGGATCGCTTTACACTCCCATAGCGCCTGTCAGAAGCAGTTCCGTTACGTTTGTCGGGATTTAGGAGACTGTGTACCATCTCCTGGAGTTGCCATATCATTATTAAAATACGTTTTCTTCAAAGCTTTTTACGATTGTTTATCATTTGCTAATTTTCAGGACCATTTTTAAAATTGGTAAATGCCAAATTTTCTCAATGACTATCTGTACTGTAATTTGTTTATTTTATTGAATATCATCAGTAGCATATTTAACATCACGAATGCTTTTTGAAAAATCATGGCAATGAACATCGTTATCATATGTTAGCATCATTGCTATCTTTTTCACCTTTTTATGCTTTCACAATAATTCTTCCTATGAAAATGTTGATTTACTTCATCAAGCCAAACAGTAATGCTTTCAAGAGTTTTTTTTCCTCTACATATCCCAAGTGACATCTAAATAGCTGGTCTCGGGGATTACACAGGGCATAGCAACCTGATAATTTACCAATTGCATCATTCATATGCACCTCTGATTAGCATGGTTAGCTATGTGCGATGCGAAAGAAGTTCAACATACATACAGGGTGCTTCAGCATATTTTTAACACTCATATGGAGGTATGCAGTCAACAATGCTTGACTCAGGGAGGAGGACGCCTCTGCCATGCATAGTCCCATGGGATATTGGCTACCAACAACAAGGCAACTCCTATGACTAATTGGGAATGGGACGCAAGCGTAGGATTGATCACCCTGTCGCTGGCCGCCTTTGGGGAGGGTGTATAGTATGAAAGGCCGAAACACCCTAGGAACCAAAGGGTCACTACTGACGATGCGCTCCCCAAATTTCACCAGGCTCACTGTTCATGAACTCTTGGAAGTGCTTGCACAAAGGATAGTAACATCTCATCCTGTGTTCTTTGGAATCTGAATAGGACTATCGTTTTTAATGGAAAAAGAACGGATAATACACAGAACAAATGTATGTTAATAGCTTTCAAAAGTCAAAGAGTCTTCACTTGTTCGCCATCATTGTCAACACATGCCTGGGATCTTCTCCAGGTGGTCTCCAGAGCCTGGAAGTGTTAAAACAATTGAAGCACCTTGTATATGTGTAGTGGCATAACGCGCAGGGTTAGCAAAGAGAGGGTGCAACTGAGATCATGCAGAGGTAAGCGGGGAGACATGGATTAGGCACCTGGAGAGGCGGCTGCAAGTAGGGGGAGAAGCAGTGATTGAGCGGGTGCATTTGGGGGCGAGCAGGTGCGAGTGTTGGAACACGGGGTAGACGCCGGAGAGGCGGGAGATGGGGGCAATAAGAAAGAGAGAGAGAGAGAGTGCGTGCAGGAGGTGCTGTAGAGGCGCCAGCTTAATGGGGGGTAATTGAGGACCCCAAATAAGGAGGGATATATAAGGGAGTATGCGGAGCAACATGGGGAGATGGCTGGTTGGTGCTCAAGGGATGAAGAACACAAGAGTCGGGGAGAAGATGCCTGGGACCTCGCCCTTACCCTGTCCTCCCCAGCAATGTTGGCTGATCTCCTGCTCGGGGCAGGGACGAGAGCGGAGGTGTGAGCGAAGAGTATTGAGTGAGAGAGTTAGCAGAGTATTGAGTGAGAGAGATAGCTGAGTATAGCGGGGAGGCAGATTGGTTATCGCGTAAGTAAGGAGCATCCACACTGGATGCGAGGTAAATAAAGTGTCAGGAGAAAAGCTAAGAATGTCCGTGTGAGTGCAACACTACATATGTACAATGGCAGGAAATGCCAGTAATCAGACTGCACATTGGGTTGTCACCTTGGAAGTACACAAACTAGGCCATATGAGAAGAAGGATTTCTCATCATGACTGAAGAGGATAATTCTATGTAAATGCATTGTCTCGATTTGGTGTATTCTTACATAATTAACAAAAACGTTGGCGTTCAATATCCTGGGAAGACGTAATAGGTTTACTCGTACAGCTACCTTAAAAGGATGATCCTGGGAAAACCATGACAGATTGCAAACCCTAACTGCATGCTGCATCTAATGATGTGGTCTCACGGGATACGCTGCCGGGTTGAATTCGCAGGTGGATGGGTTCTTTCCACTGGAGCGAGGGCAGAGAGTCTCCTTCAGCTCAAAGTCGACGAAGCTGGTGGATCCCATTTTGCCACTCCCCACCTGTGACAACATTTAATCGGTGTATTATTACAGCAGCACAATTGCTCAACGATCGTGTTGGGTCTGTAACATTGTCACTTAAAAACGAAAACAATCTCAACTGATCTTCCATTGAAAGGTGTGCTATACATCAATCGGAACACGTTTTTGTTACATGGAAAATCCTGGATGAGTCCAGATGGAAAATTGCCCGAAACGTTTCTCATTTTAAATGTATATATTTGTAGGCCACAGTTATTGAGATATTTTTCTGGTTATGGAGCGGTGGTGTTATGATGTGAGGAGACGATTGTGAGATTGAGTAAGATGGGTGGAGCTTAAGCCAATGGGAAGATGTCAAAAAAGTGGAAATAACAGAAACGCACTGTAGATATTGTTTTCATTTTATGGCAGTGAAGGCATTTGTGTTTAAGTAAGCAATTCTCATTCAGTGTTACTTTTATATTGCGGTTCGAACTGACCTTCACTTTCTTGACTTTGTAGATCCCAAACAGGTTCGGTTGTTGGAGCTCCGAATTGGCCTTCTTAATAATCACTGCCATCAGCTTGTCATTTAGACGTGCTGAATGAGCTGTACTGCAATGGCACAGCAGTACAGCAAGCAGCCCGAGAAAAACAGCTGGCCCCATAGCTGACGAATGTTGCTGAAATATCCCTTCTAATGATCGATCTGGATGGAGCCTCTGACTTTAAATGTTGAGTCTTTGTTGGCTGTAGGAGGGATTCAGCCCACTGATAGTGCTGTTTATTGTAATTCTCCACGTATCGGACACAAGCCATTGATTGAACAGTGTTATCATTGTTTCAACAAACCCGCAAGGTCACAGACTGTAGATTTTAAAATTTGTGCCTTTACAGAGTACTATAAACATGTCGTTGCACGCGCTTGGAGTTTCTCTCAGACCTGAAGTTTGTGCGGGGAGCAAATATCGGATATCATGCTAAACAACACGTGATACAACCCTAAAATACATCAAAGAATGGTGTTAAGAAGACATGAACATTAAAACACAGATTTTCTGTTGCCTTAAATGTTATCCCAAATATTTGAAGTTATAAGGTAGCATTAATGAAAAAAGGTGGTGAGATGTTTTTGTATGTGCTTACGTTTGTACATTTTGCTTTCAATTATTGAGTAGCAGAATCTATTTTTAAGGTTTTAATTATCATGGAGCATATTGTTTTAAAATAATTTCAATCGTAATGTACAGACGGTTGGCTACATATGGTGCGAAATAAATTACATACAACTAAATGTTCAAAAAAAGTTCACTAGTTTAAATGGAATGTTCCAAACTCGGCTAATATTTGTTTTGAGAGTGCCTGCGTTTAAATATTTGCTTAATGATGTACAACATGGCTCATGCACAAAATAGTGATAGCCTTGCGCCTGTATTTTGCAACTCATATTTTTGCTGACTTTTCATCATGACTACTAAGAACATAATTACATGATTACAAGCATAATCTTCAAAACATCTGGATGTTAATGAGATGCCTATTATTTGCATTCTCCCATATCATACACTCTTCCTGTTTCTCAGTGTAATTTTGAGCATCTATCCATGCATTGCACACTTTAGCTTTTGCTTAATTTCATTTATCGGTGTAAATATTTGTTTTTCAACATGTGACCGCACCTGATCTTGTAAGACATTCGAAGCTAAGGGAAGTTAAATCTGGATAGTTTTTGAATGGGTGACCACCAGGGTCAATGGACTGTAAAGGGCAGTGCATCAAAATCGATTGCTCTGCACACTCTTACCTTCACACACCATTGTGGTAGAGTCAAATATCCCTCATAGCCCATGAGGAATAGATAACAAAAATATAATGGGCAGTACATGTGTAATAAAAGACTTCGTCAGGCACTGCTGGTCTCCGCTTGTCTTTTATTCAGGTTATTCTCCGCACCCCGCTGTCTCCTCCTCGGACCAGCGTCGTTTCGCGCGCGCCCTGCGCACGCTTCCTCTCGCGTGCCACGCACGCTCCTCCGTTAGCTCCTCTACTCCCGCACTCCGCACACCGCTGGCCGACGGCGTGCTGAGGTCCTACGGCCACGTGGCCGATGGCGCGGATCTCTCACCACCCAACGTGGCTCAGACTCTTAACCTCCCCGACTGCCCCGATCTCTTCCGGGCTCCCACTTATATCCATTCCCCCCACGTGACTCTGACTCCTCCCCTTCCGGATCGTCAGATCCGGCCTTCCCATACTACCTCGCTGGATCCGCCCCCATTCACCTCGCCTCCCATTGGAGCCGAGGTGAACGATGGCCCCTCCCACACGCCCCGCAGACCAGGCTCCGCCCCCCAATACCCGGTGCCGTGTGATTAGACCAGAGCCCAACAACAACCCCATTTACGCTCGCATTACACATGCATCACTGTTATACGTGTAGTGGGTGTTGATAGCGTTATACGTGGTCACCGCTACTTACCTGGTGTATTGCCAGCCATGGGTCAACAGGGGACGACAGCGAGTACAGTCTGTACAAAGTAACGCCTTTAGGCCAGTGAACCCAGAGGGCGGTTGGGATCCGGGGGTATACACTCCAGGCCCCCAGTGGGGGCTGGGGGATTACGCAATAGTCCAGGTCCCTCCAGAAGGTTCCAGAGAGTAGGCGTGGCCAGGGGCAGAGTGACCCTGGGAGCTGTATATAAGGCGGACCCCTGAACGGGTTTGCCAGTCGTCGTCAAGCTGAAGACCCGAAAAACCAGCCTAGAATAGGACCCTGGGAACCCCCGGACCCGCCGTCCTTCTAAGGGCTAGGACTAAGTGGGCCAGTGGTTGGACCCTGGGAACCCCCGGACCTGACGTCCTTCTAAGGGCCGGGACCGAGCGGGCCAGTGGCCAGAACCCGAGGACCTTGGCTGGGTTGGGTCAGCTAGCCTCCCCTAGGTCCCTCTAGATGGAGGGCTGATATATAGAGGAAGTGGTCCCAGTGAGTAGGACACACTAGCCCGGAGGATATACTTTGCCAGGGTATCGGGTGGAGGGGCCAATACCCCTTTGTGCTAGGGACCTCATATTGTAGTTATTACTGTTAAATAAACGTGTTGCATCCAGAAGAAGACTGGGTCTCCATTCATTAACACTACAACTGGCATCAGAAGTGGCTGAAGACCTAACTAGAAATGGAGACAAGGAGTCGTGCACATACCTGGGCTAAGGACAATGACGACGACGGTGCTGCGCTCGCTGTCAGGGGTGACAACACCGCCAAACAATGAAGAAGCCACCCCAATGGTCGATATGCAGCCTGCACAGGCGCCCATGCATCCGCGGCCTTTTGGGAGAGCGCTCCGTGTGGCGCACTCCTACCTCGCCGACCTCCTGCACGCCGCGGCTTCGATCCTTGAAAAAATTCACCGAGGAGAGCCGACGGCGGAGGAGGGGAGAGCGGACCTGCAAGCGGCGGCCATTCCTGCCACCTGCTCTTCAACTCCCGCCAAAGATTTTGAATCTACCGCCCAAGACAGTGACGCTTCCACTGGCGGCATCGCGGGGACGACGTCACTTCCACCCATGTACGCGCTTTCACCGGAAGCCACATGCATCGCGGAGACGACGTCACTTCCGCCCACGGACGTGCTTCCGCCGGAAAGCCACGTACATCGCAGAAACGACGTCACTTCAGCCTTCGGCCCGCACAAACCGGACGTCACCACTTCATCAGCGCTGGACACCGCCATTGTGGACAGTGCCGATCGGATCCCGTGAAATCCAGCACGACACGACTGAACGTGGGACGTGTGTCTCTTATCCAGCAGTAAGACATTATCTGCTGCAGGTGGAGATTGGGAAGCGTTTGAGCAAAGATTCCTCTCCAACTGCGACATGGCGGGGTGGACTGAGGAAGAGGGACTCCATGCTCTTCCAGCCGCCCTCGACGACGATCTCTTGGCCGCCTTCATCACGATCCTGCGGGGGCATTGTGCAACGTTGCAGCAGGCGCTACATCACATGGCTGCTATCTACGGGCCTCCTTCAGATAAAAGACATCGCTTCAATATCCGGAGCAAGGGTGAGTCAAAATCTCCCCTGGCCATCCGTAGCGCATTGCTTGCTCTCGGATGGATGACGACGCTATCGACACCCTCGTCCTACAAAGACTGCTGTCACTGGTGCGGGACTTGCGCATTGTCGTTCACACAGTGGATGATGACAACCTGACCTCACTGCGTGCTGCCAAAAATATTCAGATGCACCTTCTCCTCCAACGTGAGATGGGGGTCGCCATCTGTGCTGCACCATCGACAACAGACACTCACGCAGAAGATGCCCAACCCGACCAAGCCTTCGCTACAGCTCGGGCCTTGGGTTCGAAGGCCGGTGATCGGCCCCGCCAGGGTGATTCTCAGTGGAGGGAACGTGCACCTCCGCGGCCAGAGTACCGGATCACCTGCTACAACTGCAGCCTCCAGGGATACGTGGCGTCGGGCTGCCGGGCACCTCGACGCCACGTCTCCGGCCTCCACCACCCTCTCATCACCCGTCCTTGGCTCCGCATCACCCTCAGGCAAGTTGTGGCACCTCACACATATGGCCCCTGCCACCATCTGAATTCATCATGCCGCGTATTCACCGTGAGTCGAGTGTAGGGCGGCAGAGGGTTGTTAAGGCCACGTGGGCGCGCCGACCGGGTCAGTGGTCCGAGTTGGCCCATAGAGTCGTTGGCGCGACCGCAGGATCCTCCGTGATCATTGGCTCTATTGAAGGGGTTGTGTTTCAGATGCTAGTAGACACGGGGGCACATGCAACCATCATTTCGGAGATAATTTTTTACATTTTGCCTAAGAAATGCCAGTCACTAATCCCCGTCGAGGTACCATGTTTTGCTGCTAATGGGAGATTGTTGGGCATAATCGGCCAAATTAATGCCCAAGTCTGTATTGGGGACATTAAATTGGTTGGTCCCATGCCAAATTTCAAGTTTGTTGCATGTCGGAAAGTATGCTAATCATTTTGAACAGACACACATATTCACAAATTTCTCTTTTATATATATAAACCTTCCTTTATATATAAAAAAAACCACAAGACATCTGGACCACCATGTTACAAGTTGAACTGAGTGTATGTGAGTGTAGCCGGTATGGGCTTAATGTAAATTAACCAAAGTATAATTGTGATTGAAAGTCATAATGACCATGGATTGGACCCATAGAGTCACGTGAGTGTGCAGTAGGCCATGCCCACCAGTAGCGTAATCAGTTCAGGGTATAGGGCACCTATTCAGATTCGGTTGGACACTATACAAGTGCAGTGTTATCATTTGCAGACAGACTAGTTGGAGGCAACAACTTGTATGTACTCAACGCTACACCATTACACATGTGACTAAATCACCTAACTCACTTCGGACAGCTACGTACACCTTTCCTCTCCGCACGGGATAACTATATATCTGGTCAGAGTGGCCACGTACTGTTGACCTACTTCGTACGAGATAACTATCCTTGGTCAGAGCAGCCCTCGTGCTGTTGACCCACGATGTCGGAGAGCGCGGACCCAGGCGACGAGTAGGATTCTTCCATCTACCAAACAGCCTCGAACCTTGTTCGAGGCTTGCTTTATATTCTCTATCCCCTGCTGCCCCCGCTCCTCCCTCCACCGCCCCTCCCCTCGGCCCATCCAGCCAATTCCAGTTCCCTCGCACCTGTCACCACCCTGTCACGTGCTTAACCCGTCGGGGGTGACTTGTCCTCACGTGCCCCTTTACCTCACCCCGGACCGTCACGTGCCCCTATACCTCTCCCGGCCCGTCACGTGCATGGTACTGTACCCTGCTAGTTATCTCCACAACACACACACACAGCGCAAAGCGCAGTAGTGATCCGAATAATGTCACTACACAAGTAACACAGATTTACAGTTCTGTTAAAACATAGATAAATATAACTGTTGAATAATTCGTATTTTTGTTAGTTTAATATTAGCTAATAGGGATTAAGTAATGTTAATAACTGCTGATTAAATATATTCACAATTAAGAGTTGTATATTCATAGACGAATTTAATAAAGTGATTCCGGCGTGGTTTTAGAATATTAACACTTGCACTCAATCCTGTCAGCAGAGGTTGAGCAATTGAGGTGGTGTGAATTGGGGTTGATTGGTGTGCATCTGGTCATAATTACAGATGCACGAATGCTCCTCTGAACACTTTGAATAAAGAGTTGCAGTCTCACAACCCTCTGGTGTCCCTTGGTGGTGGAGTCATCCAATTCTGAGGAGGGCAGATACAACGCAGTGTATCCACTCATTGCCTCCAAACTCATACTATTATTGTTTTTACTTATTAACCGGTCTGTCCCCTCGTAACGATCACGGGAGGAGAGGGGTAGGGCAGGCCAGTTACATGAGGATCATTGGTATGGCAGGTCACAGGAATACGCTGAATCTGGTGCCCGAGTACAAGATGAATAAGTAATGTTTAAAAATACTTTAAAAAACACGCTTTAATGAAATATACCGTATGAGTAATGGCAGAACTCCACGACTCCAGGAAGTGGCCCCGAAGCTTGCCGTAACGTAAGGGACTGTGGTGATTTACAGCCAATGTGAGTTGAGCGTGGACAATTAGACCCAAGCCGAAACATAAGATATAAAAAAGATTGCTTACATTTTTTTAAATGATAGAATATAGTATTGTCATCAGTATGACATACGTATACCAAGTTTGCAGTCGTTACGACATTGGGAAGTGGGCTAAAATTGAGTTACAAAATTTGAGGATACGACAACAGACACATTTGGGGATACAACAGAGTTGAGGATACAACAGACAGAGTGAGTTAAATAAAAGCGTGTAATAATCATTTAAAAAGGCGTACCTCCAAACGGGAATCGATTTGTGTCAAAAGTGAAGTTCAAAGCCGTTTCCAGATGTATGTATAGGGTCGTAGAGGTATGTATTGTTCACACCGTGCGTGTGTATTATTCACGCACGCGTGATTGGGAGTGCCTGGCTCAGGAGTGGCGTAGGAGACAAAGGACAAAGGCGGCCGGGTGTCGTGCTGGCCACCCACCCTCTTCATGTGCCGTGCTGGCCTTCGTAAGTGTTCGCTAGCAAGCACTTTCCCAAACAGTCTATTGAGGCTATATGGGGGATCTTTGTTTTTGTGGGTGAACAAGTGGCATGGATCACAGGGCAGAGAGCAGTACAATGTGTATATGTTGAACTACCCGCACGTTCCTCTTATCATTGCATTTTTCGTTGAACAAGGTTTTTGCATTCATGAGTGTTGTTCAAGAACGGAAGCCTTGCGGATTGAGAGAGAGTAATGTCAGTGTTATTCACTCATTTTCAGAGGGGGGGAGGTGGGGGGAGCATTTCCCCCGATAAGACATCATCAGTGTGAGGCAGGGGCGGTTTCTTCATTAGGGCGATTGGGCGACGCACCACCAATGTCATTGAACCACAGAGTCACGCTAGCCGTCACTGTCAGCCTCTGGATATAGTCCAATCAGCGTCATGTCACGTTCTGTGGAGTACCGCCTCTTTTTGGGCGATTTCACTCCGGCTGAGAATCGCCCCGAGTGGCCCCATAGACTTACATTTAAAGATGTTTTTTTTCGACCGGGGGGCGCTCCAATGCATTCTCTATGGCTTCCGGGAGGGCTCGCACTAACGTGCTTACGTCATCATACGTGCTAACGTCATCATACGTAAGCACGTTTCATCCAACAATATAATTTATCGCCACCAAGTGGAATCTTTAATAGAATAAACTTGAGTGGTTTGTTTTAATAGTGAGTATAGAAACAAACAAGATGTATTGTAAGAGTCACTTTATTTTTCATTAATATTAAAGAAGTGAAGTTGCCTTTACATGCTTAAGCTGTTAATTTATCCATTGCATGGGTGGACCTTATCCTTATCAATCATCAAGACATTTGCCCCCCCTGAGAGATTTTGCAGGAGCCGCCACTGGTGTGAGGGCCACTACACATTCGAAACCAATTTCGGGAGTTTGACAGCAGCACGACGATGATGATGGGGGTGATTTCAATTTGTGTATTGTCGGGGGGGGGGCGCAAGCATTCGGGGCCCGCATTCAAGGCCACCAGGGTCCGCTAGAGGCCCGCTGGCCTTGCAGTGACGAAGACTAGTTAACCGCACCCTATTTGACTTGCATGGGCAATGCGATGCTTTAGCCTTTTGCCCCCTCTCTCTTGCACGCATATGCAATCCGGGAGGCCCTGCCTTGCCCTCCCCAAAGGGGTTGCTGGAGTGAAGCGAGAATCGGAGTGGAAGCTATGGCGGATGCACACGTGCTGTGCCACGTTGTCTGAGAGCTGTTGTGTAGCGTTCGCCTTTGTGCATGTGCGTGCACTCGAGTCACCGAAAGGGTAACTCATCAGGCACAGTAGACACCGCGACAATGATGTACCGTCGAGATTGGTGGGACAATGCTAGAATCGGTTATTGAGGGAGTTGTTTTTCTACAGAGGTTGAACAGGTGTCTGAAACGTGCTGAAGATAAGATGGCTAAGATGGCATCCGTAAAGTCCTTTAAAAGCCTATAGCTGATTTAATATTTATATTTCAGGAGTCAAATTAGCATAGCGACAGATTGTATGTAATTTAAACGTAATTCACGTTGTTATTAATATAAATAATGCACTGTTAAGGCTAGATTTTTACAATAAAGACTGTTTTATACTAACTGCATTAAATATCTTAATACAGTTAGTAGCTGTGACCAGATCCATAAACGAGTTTTGAATGGTTTATTGGGATAAATATAATGTATGGAATCTTTATATTCATAATTAACGAGTCAATAATGTTGTTTAATGTGATAATTAAACCTTTTGGTACTGTATCTGATTACAATCGATAGTGAATGTTGAATAGTTGATCTTGTTCACTAAGGCTTGTCATTATGTTGAGATATTGTGATTAAAATTACCAAATTGAAAGGATGTTAACATTGGCTAATACAGTACTGTTAATATTGTATCTTTACAGGAAATAGTGGGTAAATAGGGGACTGTGAAATGGACAATAGTATTTTGGTGCGAAATAATCTAAACTATGACCACCAGGGGTGCTGTCGTTAAGCCAGTATCAGAGGGGAGCGATGGCGGCCACGCATGTGCTGTGACACGTGGGTTCAGAGGTCCGATACCCTGCTGCGGTGCATGGACGCAAATTCAAATGTGATCATTCTCGGCTTTCACGGGGAACAAAATTGACATCGTGGAAATGTAAATCGTACGTTGGAGGTGACAGGGCCTTTGTTAATTTGCTTTTACTCTGCTCGCTCTTTCTCGTGTTCCCGTCCTGTGAGTGTGGCATTCTCCTATCTACAGATTTTGAGTTGGAGAATAAAAGGTAATCTACCCGGGAGAAGTCTTCACATTCATCGTTTTGTGCATGTCAACCTCCGAGTTCACTTACAAACTTATTCTAAATCATGTGCAGCCATCAAACTGGATGTAAGTGTCCTATAATTTGATTGTGTTGTACTCTGTTAATCTCCTATGCCTGTGACCCACTTATTAATTGTGCATGCACCAGGTGTCCAGCGGGCAGTTCTCCTGCACGTGTTTCGTCCCTATCCCTGCTTATCCAGACAGATAACTTTTTTAATAATATAGTATGATTTTATTATGCTTTTCAATAAAAGTACATGACCAAAGTATACAGTCAATTGGAGATCAGTAAGCAAATAATTAAGTTATTCTCTGGCCATGATCTGATAACATTATTGGAAATGTAACGTTCTTTGCCTCGTTCTTGGATTGCCAGGGCGATTGGCAACATGCCTGAACCCAGGTCTTCGTGGCGGTTTCTTGTTGGTCTTTTGAGGCTTTGCTCTCTTTAGCCGCCGATTCATGGACTGCAAAGTAGCAAAAAGGAGACAGATTTGTGAAATTATGTACGCAACATCTTAATGAAGAAAACTTGTTTTGTGAGGCTTGTATTGGCAGTGGCACACAAGCACAAATATCAATAACACTGCCCTAAAGAGGCAGCATTGCATATATAGCCGGTGTAAGCTCACCTGTGATTAATCACACGTATAATTGGGCACTCTGCTTATAGCTGCAGGTAGCCAGGTGCGTTTTTTTTATTTTAAGTGAATGCATTGCTGACCTCGAGCCCCACACACTGTACGGGGCATGCCCCAATTTAGATTTGGGCAGACTTTCTGCTGAGATATTGAGCTGTGGTGTTGTGACGTGGAGAGGGTGTGTTTGGTCGCTATTCCAGATATGCAATTGCCCTTCTGAAGAACACTTTGAAATAAAGTTTCGGTGTTTCACAATCCCCTATTGCTCAGCTGTTGTGGAGTCACCCAAAACTTCTCTGGGGGATAAAACACAACACGGAGTACTTACTCATCGTCTCTGACTTTGTTATTTTACATTGTCATCTATTTAGCTAACCTGTCTCCCTCGTTAGGATTCACGGCAGGAGGAGAGGGACAGGGCCGACTGGCTACACATAATAGGCAACATTTTGGGCAATGGCCCCTTTTTCAAGCACACATTTTTAGATATGCCAGGAGATCGAGTAATTTATGATTGGGGACAATGGGGCCGTGACAGAAATTTAGTTTTGGCCATAGAAGAAATGCAGTTTTAGGAACGTTTAATGATTAACCATATTCAACTGGTATATGAACAGTTACTCATTAAAATACATTTTGTAACAGACAAACACTTAAACAAAAATTGCATAAAATTAAAACATTTTAAGGAATTCTAATGTCCCGAAATTACATATTTGACTGGACGGCTTCCTTAATAAAGTAAATTAACCTCGCAAAACCAGGATAGATGAAACCCCTTATCGTGAATGTCAGAATTCATGCACTGATACATGCCTGCTGGGACCTATGCCGGCGCAGTGCTCAAAGTAGGATAGCCTAATGATATTGCACGTTCCAAAGACATCCGCACTTGGCCTACATGACACCTATTCTACTTTCTCATGACCAGTGGGAAACGTTACCGGTTCAGGAATTTCCCAAACTTCATCATACATTGCTGTGGAGCATAATGGGTTCAAGCAAATCTTTGAGAAAAAACACATTGTTTCAGATAAATAAAGCCTATCGGAAGATGGACTAATGCACATGTAGATACAGAATTGTTTATATATGCTGTTTAAGCCATGATGCGCCACAATAATACTGAATACGTTCGTATACAATAGTGTTTTTTTGCATTGAACTGGTATGGTTTAAATAGAGTATTCCTACCTATAATTTTGCAACACCGCAGCATTTGTTTAACATGCCCAATTTTAATGATCGAGTTATCAAAACCACATCCGAATTTGCTTGCTTAAACAAACGCTGATGCATAATATTAGTCTGGAAATCCAGTGGGCAGATGTACTATACAATGTTTATTTGTTTGTGGAGGCAGAACAGAGTTCTACTTTTGCCCAGGAATGTCCCAGATTTGTTTGGGGATGAAGCAAACAGCTCGGGCACTTTGGGCACTCACCCGGACGGAAGTGTCGTCGTGGCTGTCACTATCCGACTCCTCGCTGCTCTCCTGGTCGCATGACAGGTCCGACACCACAGGGGCGTTTGTGTTGCTCTTGGTTAGGATCGCTTTGCACTCCCATAGCGCCTGTCAGAAGCAGTTCCGTTACATTTGTCGGGATTTAGGAGACTGTGTACCATCTCCTAGAGTTGCCAAAACATTCTCAAAATAAGTTTTCTTCATAGCTTTTTACGATTCAATCTTGATTTGAAGCTTTCGTGACTTGCAGAAATCCATACTCTTTGGTTCTTTCGGTAAAGTCACGTAGGTAGAAAAAATAATAGATCACGACGTTTCGATCGCAACACAAGCAACCGTCATCAGTTGTGAAATAAACACAGCAGGATGACTGCTGACGTAGGAGAAAGATCTGCTGCAACAAGAAGGTTTTAGATACAGCTGCTTGGTCGGTCCGATTAGAGAAGTCGAATTAGTGATATGGCTATGCGGTTGGTGGGATCTATATTGATTTTGGTATATAGCTGCCATTATTAATAAGGTTCTAAATGTTGTTATTGTAAGTGGTTTTATCCATGATGACAGTAGCATTGCCCTTGTTGGCTGAGAGGATGACAATGTCATCTTTCTTTTTTAATTGAGGGAGTTCAAAACGCTCATTGTTGCTAATGTTGCTAATGGGTTTCTTAGCGTTTTTAGAATAGTAGCGGGGTTTTTTGTTCCTGTTGCCCGGCTCTCTGACATTGACATGCTAATCTTCTCATTGGCACACCTCTGGTGGCTGGACCATCTCACATTGACATGCTAATCTCTCACATTTACATACAAATTCCTTTTCTAGCTCGGCCCACTTACCCTTGGGTTAAGTCCACAAAATCTTATATAAACTCTTGTTGCAGCAGCTCTCTCTCCTACGTCAGCAGTCCTCCTGCTGTTTTTGTTTCACACCTGATGACGGTTGCTTGTGTTGCGATTGAAACGTATTGCTCTATTATGTTTTATATCTACGTGACTTTTTACGATTGTTTATCATCTGATAATTTTCACTACCATTTTTGTCATTGGTAAATGTCAAATTTTCTCAATGACTATCAGTACTGTAATGTGTTTATTTTATTTAACATCATCAGTAGCATATTTAGCATCACGAATGCTTTTTTGAAAAATCATGGAAATGAACATCGTTAACATATGTCAGCATCATTGTTATATTTTTCACCTTTTTATGCTTTCACAATAATTATTCCTATGAAAATGTTTACTTACATCATCATGCCAAACAGTAATGCTTATCACGAGTTTTTTTCCTCTACATATCTCAAGTGACATCTAAATAGTTGGTCTCGGGGATTACACAGGGCATGACAACCTGATCATTTATCAATTGCATCTTTCATTTGCACCTCTGATTAGCATGGTTGGCTATGTGCGATGCGAAAGAAGTTCAACATACATACAGGGTGCTTCAACATCATTTTAACACTTATATGGTACTATCGTTTTTAATGGAAAAAGAACGGATAATACACTGCAACATGAGAACAAATGTATGTTAATAGCTTCCAAAAGTCAAAGAGTCTCCACTTGTTCGCCATCATTGCCAACACATGCCTGGAATCTTCCCCAGGTGGTCTCCAGAGCCTGGAAGTGTTAAAAAAATTTAAGTACCCTCTATATGTACAATGGCAGGAGATGTCAGTAGTCAGACTGCAAATTGTGTTGTCACCTTGGAAGTACACAAACTGGGCCATATGAGAAAAAGGATTTCTCACAATGACCGAAGGAGGATAATTCTATGTAAATGTATTGTCTAGATTTGGTGCATTCTTACGTAATTAACAGAAACGTTTGCGTTCAATTTCCTGGGAAGACGTAATAGGTTTCCTAGGAGAGCTACCTCAAGAGCATAACCTGGGAACACCAGGACAGATTGCAAACCCTAACTGCATGCTGCGTCTAATGATGTGGTCTCACGGGATATGCTGCCGGGTTGAATTCGCAGGTGGATGGGTTCTTTCCACTGGAGCGAAGGCAGAGAGTCTCCTTCAGCTTAAAGTCCACAAAGCTGGTGGATCCCAATTTGCCACTCACCACCTGTGACAACATTTAATCTGTGTATTATTACAGCAGCACAATTGCTCAACGATCGTGTTGGGTCTGTGACATTGTCACTTAAAAACTAAAACAATCTCAACTGAGCTTCCATGGAAAAGGTGTGCTATAAATCAATCGGAACACGTATTTGTTACACTGGAAAATTCTGGATGAGTCCAGATGGACCATTGCCCAAAACGTTTCCCATTTTATATGTGTAGAGACGTAAATAGCATCATCTCTACGGCATATATGCTGACTACAACTACAAATGGTAAAGGAGTGGGCACATACCTCTCGAGGGAGCCGACGGAGATGTGGCGGAGTAGCAGGCCCTACAAAGCAGGGTCCCGTCGCAGAGAGAGAGAGGGGACGTGCCAACTCAGGGGAGTGAAGGGGGCCCGGAAACGGGGGCCCCGGAGGACATGTTACTCTGGCTCCAGTTCCGTCTCCAGAGAACGAGGAGGGGGCGGAGGAGGAGCGAGGCCACGCTCAGGAGGATAAGAGGAACGGGAGGCGCTGACCGTGTGGTGTTGCTTCGGGGGTTGAGAGCGTCAGTCGTGGGGGACTCAGTTTTACATAGAGACCCCTTTGGGGGTCTAGAGTAACCCAGAGTATTGTTAACCCGTAGCCCTGTTCAGTTGTTAATAAATCGTGGTGCCTCCAGACTTCTGCGTGTGTATATATTTGTAGGCCACAGTTATTTAGATATTTTTTCTGGTTATGGGTAAGATGGGTGGAGCTTAAGCCAATGGGAAGATACGTCAAAAAGAGGAAATAACAGAAACGCACAATCTTGATTTTAAGTCTTCGTGACTGCAGGAATCCATACGCTTTGGTTCTTTCGGTAAAGTCACGTAGGTAGAAAAATAAATAACAAATCACGACGTTTCGATCGCAACACAAGCAATCGTCATCAGGTGGAAAGATACAGCAGTAGAATTGCTGAACAACAAAGGGCTGCTGCAACAAGAGGTTATATATAGGTTTGAGGTGGGAGTCACCCAAGGGTAAGTAGGCAGGGTCAGAGATGGAAAGGAGTCATGTCGCCGCACGCACGCACAACAGCTGCATTAAAGGGAGAGATTGGCATGTCAATGTAAACGAGTTTAATGGGAAGATAGCATGTCTGTGTCAGAGGACCGGGCATAGTGCCACCTCGTGGGCAACACAAGCTGCGGCGTTGGCTGCTGCACAGTGAGAAGCCAGCGTATCAACGCAAGAGAACCACCGTAACGGTGGCCGTGCCAGTGAGACATACAGCCTATTAAAGAGCGAGAGCTACCGTTACAGAGGCAAAAGGGAGCAGCGGTGGTTATGTTAGTGAGACCTTAGTCTGTTAATGTAAAGACATTTAACAAGGTGATGTAAATCAGAGTCGGAAATAACTGCTAACAGCAGGAAGGATGGAAACATCACAGCAAGTTATGACTTTACCTGGTTAATAACATCCTTCCAATGATTGCTCAGTTTGTACCCATCTTCTCGGTTGAAATTGTGTCTGTGTTTATATATCATGGATGGCTTCATGGTCAAAACTTTGATGGTAGCCCGAAGGTTTGCAGAGTACCTTGGTCTCGGGAAAAACAATATCGTGTGAACCCACTGCGTTAAAACAGTGATCAGCCACGGCAGAGGTGTTGGTTCTGCCGTGTTTCAAATCAGCCTTGTGTTCGCGAACATGGTCCGAGACATGTCGTTTCGTTTCCCCGGTGTACTTGCAACCGCAGACACAACTTAGTCTATAGACACCAGGGTATTGCATGCCAGGAATCACATCTTTCACAGATAGGATCAAATCACATATTTTGTGTACTGCATTGATTCGAACCTGGATCTTGTGTTTGTTCAAGATTTTGGAAATATTTTGGTAACACCTGCTATGTATGGTAAGGTGATGGTTTTGATTGGGTCCCAGATGGGTTTCTTTGCAGATTGTGCGGTTTGAATATCCATTCATCTTGAGGGATTGGTGTACGTGCTCCAGCTCACTGGCTAGGTGTTGCTGATCGGAGATGAAACGTGCCCTATAGTGTAGTGCTTTGATTAGTGTGGGTGGCTTTCTGTAGACAGAATGTCCCAACGAGCCATCAGGTCTCTTCTCGATCAAAACATCCAGGAATGGCAGCTTGCCGTCATTTTTCACTTCCATGGTGAATTTGATGGATGAGTGTATAGAATTGATGTGGTTGAAAAACTGGTTCAGTGCTGGCTGGCCATTTAGCCAGATGACGAAAGTGTCATCTACGTATCTCTTCCACAGGGAAGGACGTAGGGTGGATGTCAGGATGGCATCTGTTTCAAATTTCTCCATGAAAACATTCGCTACCACTGGCGACAAGGGAGAATCCATAGGGGTACCCTCATTTTGTGTGTAGAATGTACCATTCCAGGTTAAGTAAGTATTGGTAAGGCAGTGCCTTACCAAACTTTGTACATCCGGATTCAGTCCCTGTTGAACCAAGTATTCAATGATTCCAATGGTTTCAGGCACAGGTACCTTGGTGAACAGAGAGACTACAACAAAACTGACAAACAATTATCTGGCGACAGTGAGATGCCCTTGATTAGAGCAACCAAGTGAGCTGAGTTAAGTACAGCTGAGGTGGTCTTGCCCGTGAGTGGAAGGAGGGTCTCAGACAGAAACGCACAGCTTTTAATTTTAGGGTGAAGGCATTTGTGTTGAAGTAAGAAATTATAATTCGGTGTTACTTTTATACTGCGGTTCGAACTGACCTTCACTTTCTTGACTTTGTAGATCCCAAACAGATTCGGTTGTTGGAGCTCCGAATTGGCCTTCTTAATAATCACTGCCCTCAGCTTGTCATTTAGACGTGCTGAATGAGCTGTACTGCAATGGCACAGCAGTACAGCAAGCAGCCCGAGCAAAACAGATGGCCCCATAGCTGATTAAAGTTGCTGAAATATCCCTTCTAATGATCTATCTGGATGGAGCTTCTGACCTAAAATGTTGAGTCTTTTTTGTTGACTGCAAGAAGGATTCAGCCCACTGATAGTGCTGTTTATTTTAATTCTCAACGTATGTGACACAAGCCATTGGTTGAACAGTGGTATCACTGTCTCAACAAACCTGCCAGGTCACAGACTGCAAACGCATGCACAAAATTTAAAGGGACTGCACGAGTAGTTGTCTGTCGAGTTTTGCATTTGTGCCTTTATAGAGTACTATGATTTGCTTTCTGGTTGTACCGTGTGTTTTTTGAAACATGTCGCTGCACGCGCTGGGAGTTTCTTTCGGAACTGAACGGATATCATACCAAACAACACGTGCTACAACCCAAAAATATATCAGAGAATGGTGTAAAGAAGACATGAACATTACAACACAGATTTTCTGTTGCCTGAAATATTATCCCAAATATTTTAAGTTATAAGGTAGCGTTAATGAAAAGGAGGTGAGATGTTTAATATGTGCTTACGTGTGAACATGTTACTTTGAATTATAGAGAAAAACCAACAGTAGAATAATATACTTTTTAAAGGTTTAAATTATCATGGAGCGTATTGTTTTTAGATAATTATAAATGTAAAGTACAGGCAGTTGGCTACATACGGTGCGAAATAGGTTCTACATACAACTAAATGTAAAAAGATCAATTGTTGAAATGGAATGTTCCAAAGTCAGCTAATATTTGTTTTGAGATTGCCTGTGTTAAAATATTTGCATAATGACGTAGAAACTCGAACATTTATGAACTTGGCTCATACCCAAGTTTGTGATACATGCCTTGCATGTATCAACTCATATTTTTGCAGACTTTTCATAATTTCTACTTATAACATAATTACATGAATACAAGCATCATCTTCAAACACATCTGGATGAGGTCATTCCTTTTCTGTTACAAACCAACATGGTTACATGATGCCAGATTTCTTTATATTTTACTCCTGCATATCAATTTGATCTTATCACTCTGCAGTGGTCATATCCTCAGGCGTGATCCTTCTTTTAACGAGTTGTTAATGTGATGCCAATGATTGGAATTTTACCGTATCCATACACGTTTCCTGTTTCTTAGTGTGAGGCCAGTGAGTGCCGCTACCAGGCAGTGTTAGGCAAGGCTTTCTCGTCTTCTTCCCTCCGCATCCATCTGATGCTGTGAGTACAGCTACGAGGTACACGGTAGAATGCTTGAGTGACTGGGTGTGTAGGCAGCAGTAGGCTCGGCTTTTCTTGCAAGATACTCCTCCGGGTAGTGCAAACTGGGCAGCTTACTTTAAAGGACTGTGGTTTGCCCTGAGAATAAAAGTTAGCACAGCACATACGGTGTGGTGTCTGCGATTTCTGTGTGGAGTGACTGCGTGTGCAAGCTGAGTCCTGGGTAGCGGTGGGGGAACGCGCGGCGAGCGTGACACGCGGGATGGTGATCGCTGGATCGCTACCACGTTTTGCACGAGCGAGGGAATCGCATAGGTGTAAGCACGCTCGCAGCCCCCTCTTGTTAGCGGGGCCCGCGTGTTAAGAGCTAATCGAGCAGGTGCAAGCGCGTGTTCGTAGCCATCTGGTTAGCGACAGCGGCTGTTGTGTGCAAGCGTGCGGTCGCCGTAGCTGATAGTTAATCGCTCGCAGGTGATAGCGGCGGTTCGCACGCCTTTGTTAGCGACAGCTGCCCGTGTCCACGGGCATGTGGTTTAACCCCGCGCGACTCCGAGGTCAACGGCACGAGCATGTTCCTCACAGAGGGCGCTAGCGCGGGGGGCCCCATCACTTGATCGGCGCGTGCCAGGTGGGAGCCGACGGACGCGGTGGAGGACGGAGTGGAACTGGTGGACTTCGCGCCCCAACTGCCCAGCGAGGGTGGCAGGGTGGACGTCGGGCCCCATCACAGCAATGCACATGCTTTAATTTATTGTGGGGTTAAGGGTTGACATAGGCAAGCCATTATCGTCATTTCTAAAGGGTCCTAAAATACGTACCACTTCATGCGAAGTCGTCAGTGGTTGTTAAAGATGGCCCCTGCCATAGGAATGTGGCATTTCCACTGGTGGAGTTGAGCGCTGGACAATGCCCCTAGGAGCATGGAGACGTTTTGTCAATCCACTGCTGGATGTGGGCCTCCCTACGCCATGCTGGTTGTGGAGGCCATTTGACCATTCTTAACCGCGGCTGGTCAGCGCGGATTGGTAAAGGCAGGCAGCATAGACATACAGTACAACTGGATATAAACACCACGTGACCCCACAGCCCTATGACAACCTGTGTTGTGCATAGTGGGCACCCATCCAGGTGTAAGGGATCTGCGAGTCACCCTCACGCACATGCACCACGCAGACATGAAATGTCCGCACTCAGTATAACACGCACCAATCACACGCACGGGAATACACTAGACGGGGGTCAGGGTTAAAGGGCACTGACGTCACCCGGACCAGCCGTGCGGGACGCGGATGTGTATTGGGAATGAGGGCGATAATGGAGGGTTTAAAAGGGGCTGTGAGTCACGTGTTCAGGGTTGGTTTTGGAACGAGTGTGGCTGTGGGTTGAAGAATAAAGAAGTGCTTAGCCAGTCTCCGACTCCTCTTCATCTGGTGGCAGCGGTGGGATGTTTCGCCTCAACCGACGCAAGATCCAAAAAGGGGAGACACAGCCAGAAGATGTTCTAGGTGCCCGGGACGAGATTTGCTCCGAAACGGAGCCGATGAATCGGGATTCGTCTCCCGGCTCATCGACGAGATCCGTGGCAGCTGCTCATCCCGTGTGGCCACCTTCCTCCACCAACCCGGCGGTGCAGACGCAGCACCGCCGCCACCGCAGATCATCTTCTCAGGATCGAAGGATGGATCTGCTGCTGGAGGCAGTCACAACATTGCTTAGCCGGCTGGGTCCTGAGGGAGGTCGAATGAGCAGGGGGGAACTTCGGCCGCTCCACCTCCCAGCGAGGGGACGGGGGCCATGGTCAGCCTTCCTCACCAGGCACTCCGCAGCATCTATCAGGGGATGGAGTAGCATCAGCGACGCCGCCGACCGTGCGTCCCGCGCGGGACCTGGGAGAAAACTCTGGTCTGTCCTCCCGATATCCTCCAACAGCAGCGGCAACCGGGGGCGAGATTCAGCCAGAAACTCAGCCGAGGCAGCCCGCGAAGGGAGGACCAGGATGGAGCCGCCAGCTGGGCGCGATACAGAGGTTCGCGTCCAGATCGGGAGAATGATGCGCTTTCATCCGCCAGTTCGAGACGGCCGCCCGGGCAATGAGGTGGACGGAGGATCAAGCCCTGACGATGCTGCCCACTGTGTTGGACGCAAGCTACGAACGAGCGCTTGCGGGCTAAGCCACCAGTCGCGGATCCCTTTGCAGTGGGTGACCTGGCTTGGCTGCACTGTCCGCAGGTACCGTTACGTATGTCAGCGAAACTGCACCGGCCCTGGCACGGCCCGGTCACAGTGCTGCAGGTATTTTGACCTCCATGTGTTCGCATTCAGATGGGAAAGCGTAGGTGGTACGTTCACCCCTCTAGGCTAAAACGTTATGTCGCGGCCGAGCTGCCCCTACGAGCATCGTCACCTTCACCACCTCCATCGTCAGTTTGGCTGAGTGGGAGGAGGTTGTCACACTCGCGGCCTGCTATGCGTCCGACTGACAATGCAGCCACTGTCCATACTGCAGGACTACAGGTGACCAGGGACGCCAGCACTGGATCCATCGGCATCCGTGGCTGAAGACGCAGCCGCAGCATCAGCGGAGCACTTGGCTACAGGACGGGGCCCCTTAACCCGCTCACGCTCACGCCGCCTCGTCGCAGCTGTGGACATGGACATCCCTGCAACCCTGTTGTGTTCGGTCGAGGGATCGGATCGTGGGAGAAGTCTGCGATAGAGGGGGCACTCTTGTTAACAAGGAGACAGAGGGGGAATTGTGTTGTGTTACTTTTGCTTTAATTTTGTGTTGTGTTACTTTGCCTTCATTGCACTTTTTGTTGTTGTGTTGAAATTACATGCGCCCGGCCGCAGTTGGCTTTGAATGGCCTAGGCATACAGTTGTTGAGCTGAGGACGGCTTTGTCTCAAGGAAGGGGGGGGGGGTGATGTAAGGGATCTATGAGCCACCCTCACGCAGACGCACCACGCAGACATGAAATCTCTACACTCAGTATAACACGCACCAATCACACGCACGGGAATACATTAGACGGGGTTCAAGTTCAAGGGTTAAACGGCACTGATGTCACCCGGACCAGGCGTGTGGAACGAGGATGTTTATTGGGAACGAGGGCTGAGATAGAGGGTTTAAAAGGAGCTGTGAGTCGCGTGTTCAGGGTTGGTTTTGGAACGAGTGTGGCTGTGGGTTGAAGAATAAAGAAATGCTTAACCAGTCTCCGACTCCTCTTCACAGGCACTGGCCAAGCTCAGATCTGCTTGGCTTTCGAGGTCCGACCAGATCGGGCGCATCCAAGTCCGGGTGATTTGTTCTTAGGCATAATGGGTTATAGTGATGCTGTTCGTCTGGTATACAGAACATCTTGCAGTGGCGAGATGTTAACTACCTTACCTGGTATGCAGAAGGTTGTTGGTTCGACCCTCACGCCTGTCTATTTGGAGGTTGCATGTTCTCCCCGTGGTCCCATGGTTTTATCTCCGGCATTTAAAAACATGGGCTTCGAATATTTGGCTGCTATAATTTTCCACATGATAAGCCACTTAATTGGTGGCCAGTTCGCTTCTGAAAAAGAGCTATACAGCTCTCGCGGGCCCTACCTGGTGCAATAAAATAGCAGTCAAATCGTTACAATAGTTGTAATTGTAAAAAATAGGTAAAAAACAAATGTTTCAATGCACACTATTATTTGCACTCAAAAGTAGGAAATACATTATTTGACTCCAGAATTAATCAACTTTGATGTACTAAATAAGAATGGGTGGCTTCCTTTCGATACGTTACATTTTCCTTAAGCAAGCTTCCTACTTTTTTTCAGCACATAAATTTTGATTCATTCTGGGATCAATATAATGTATTTTCTACTTTTGAGTGCAAATACAAGTGTGTGCATTGAAAAACTTGTTTCTGACCATTTTTCTCTCCATA